ACTAAGGGTACATCTACACTACAGCGGGGAGTCGATTTAAGATACGCAAATTCAGCTACGTGAATAGCGTAGCTGAATTCGACGTATTGCAGCCGACTTACCCCGTTGTGAGGACGGCGGCAAAATCGACTTCTGCCGCTTTTTGTCGGCGGCGCTTACTACCACCTCTGCTGGTGGAGTTAGAGCGCCGATTTGGGGATCGATTGTCGCGTCCCGTTGGGACGCGATAAATCGATCCCCGAGAGGTCGATTTCTACCCGCCGATTCAGGCGGGTAGTATAGACCAGACCTAAATGTTTCCTCTAGAAGTTCTGTTATGGTTAACTTTTGGGGGCACAGGAGGTGTCTGACTATGCATGGATCTGCTGGAGAAAAAGATAAAGGAGAAAACATCTTTCTCCCATCATGAGTCCATCTCAGTATGTACAGCCTGTGATGGGGAACATTTTGGGGATGTTGCTTGAGTTCTGTGGAAATGTACAGTAAAAGTGTGTTAATTCTTTAGGGTAATTACTGAGAATTGCTGGTGTGAGTGTCTTGCTCAGTCACCTTCTGATTTGAAATGAACAGCACTTACAGCTCCATTCATTGAACAGAGTTGTTGCTAATATAACTGAAGTAGTTTCACTGAGCAATGTGGATTGGAGTTTTTGGTTTGAGTCATGTTATAAACCATGCTATAAAGACTGCCTAAAGCAACAGGGCTGATACGCTCTTCATTTGCACAAGTGTAATCAAGAATAAACCCAGTGAAGTCAATGGATCCACAACAGGGTATATTGTACGTGAGAGAAGAACTGGATCCCTTATCTATAAACTGGGTCTCAGAAAAAAAAACCCTGCCTATGCTGCTCTGAGAAGCTATACATAAACAACACGTGGTTGTGGCGAGCAGAGTTTCAACCATAGCTCAAACAAGACAGACTATGTCCATGTGGGATATGAAAGAACTTTTGCTTTATATTGGTCCTCATTTCTGAGGTGCAGATTTTCAGCTAGAAAGGCAGAAGCTCTGTGTTGGAGCAGTTTATTGGACAGACTGGTTTAAGTACCCATATGCAAGATGCAGAGGATGTGCATATTATAACTATACCGTACCTTTCACCCTGACTGATCTCCAAACGGTTAAAAAAGTGTATACACACATACAGCAGCTGCATCTGAGGTAAACATGAGGGAGGGAAAGTCTTAGTCAAGGACTGGACAACCCCCCTGCTCTAATAAGTGCCGTGTGCAACATGTTCTTGAATGACCCTGTATGGTAAATGGGGTGGCTTCAATTAATTCTCATCTCAAAAGTGAATACACAGAATAGCCTGAAGGAAGGTTCTTAGTCATTTTGTTAGGAGCAGACACATTATTTTTATTATTTTGTTCACTTTATATGCTGTAGCTCAGGGTCTCTGTTACAGTGCTTGATACATGTTCCATGGTTACAGGGATGAGAGAGGCACTTGCAGTAAATGAATATATACTCGGTGAAAATGACTACTAAAAATAATCATATATACATACACACAAGCATGTTTTACTACTCACGGTTGGGGTTTTCTTATCACTATAAAAGAAAAGTGTAGTTCCTCTGAGTTCTGTCCAGTACTGTTCAAAATCCTGTTTGAAAAGAACAAGTGTCAGTTTACCTAAAAAATCTTTTTAGCCCCCAAAGAAAAGTGAATGAAATATGGATAAGAAAATTACCATAACTCAGGTGGGTTTATTTCAGTGCTTTATAGTTTGGTAAAGGTCAAAGACCTTCTGCTTCTAACTTCCAGTAAATGAAACAATTTGTAAAATTATTTCATTCCAGGTCAGGAGTTCCGATATATAGACTTCGGGGCTGATTCATTACTGTGTTACTCCAGTTTACGCCACTGTAACTCTATTGGCTTCACTGGAGTTATTCAAGTTTAAAACTAGAGTAGCATCGTAGTGATCCACATTCAATATCTTGGTTATGGTAACTGACCAAGTATTGGTATCAGTATGGATTATCAATAGCACTGACAATTTCTCAGTACTGATGACCAAATAGTTTATATTTTTTGACATTTTTGCCCCTTATTTAAAATGTGAGCTCCAGCCTGGGGGAGAGAACTGTTTAATAGCTTTTATTTTTCACATTGCTCTCCCTAAATTGCATAAAAATGTCTAGCAGATCAAGTCCTTTAGAATACCTCACAAGACATACTTTGTACAAAACACATCCTAATTACATGACAGTGATGAATATTGGGGTGTCAGGATGTCACACTAAGTACCTAACTAAGTGGGATCTGATTTTTTTTTAAAGTGCTTATCACCCAGAAACAATCATGTGGAATCCCCATCATTAGAGACTTTTAAAAACAGGTTGGATAAACACCTGTTAGGGACGATCTAGGTTTACTTGGTCCTGCCACAGCACAAGGGGCTGGACTTGATCTACATTTCTAGGATTCTATCATTGATTTCAGTGGGAGATTTGATATACAGGCTGTAAAATAGTCATCCGATAACGTCTCTACTAACCTGGGCCAAATGGAAACTAGTGGAAGGCAAACAAATTGAGAGATGAAAGCCTCCACATCCTGTCATTGTTCCCCTGAACAATCTAGTCCCACAAAGATTAATATTAACTGTACTGGTTTGTTTGTTCAGTAATATCTCCCTCTAACCTAAAGCTAGATTGTTACACTCACAGTGACTCTTTATCTACTTCCCCTTTCAATGACGAAAGACTATCGATCTGCAACCAGCCATTGCCTTATTGTTCTCAATCTTCCCTGCAATGAACGTGTTAGTTAATGATGGGAAAGGCTGTAAGACCATTGCAATTATACATTCTGCTCTCTTGTCTGAGGATGCATGAGAAGCATATATTATGGGCAAAGCCTTTCATTTGGGGATTTTATTTGTTTAAAATTGCCCAAGTATTTATTGGTGTTCATTACAAAAATTAAAAAACAAGTGAAAATCAGTGCATAAAATTAACGTAATAGTTTTCTGGGTAAATAAGAGGGTGGTTAATATTGAGAGACAGGATAGAAAAAAGCAACAAAGAGAAAAGGAAGAGTATTGAACGTAAAAGCAGTTTCAGGCTGTGGTGTATTTCATGAACTCTACATTAACAGTATGTATACATATGCCCATGCAGGCCTGTGTCTCTTCCACTACCTTGCCTTACTTTAACAGACAACCTCACGTTTACACTTAGACTAATTTATTAGTAACCTAAACCCATCCACCTAATGTCATGGATTGGATTTTTTTTTAAATAACCAGAATGGTCACATACTTGAGTGCTCCAAAATTCAGGTGAAAAATCAGTAAAACCTTTTGTAAAACCTGGGGATTTTTTAGTAAAATTTGGTTTAAAAAGAGAAACAAAAAAGAAGGGCCTTAATTATGGACTAGTGAATGAAGATAGTAAAACTGTAAAATAGATGTACTTTTTTGGCAAAAAAAGGGGAGAGTTTCTCACACAAGGGTAAAAACTGCAAGCGTGCTAGGCCTGACAAACTAAGGCATGCAGGATATTTCCCCCCAAACCTCTACCTGGTGACCTCTCCCCCACAGACTTCAGTCTCCTAATAATTCTTTTCAGGAGTTCTCCAGAACCACTTGTGGACTAGTGTGCTTCTCCCCACAGCATCCTTGTAACCCTGAACTGATAAACTGAGGGATGTACACTTGTGGACTAGTGTGCTTCTCCCCACAGCATCCTTGTAACCCTGAACTGATAAACTGAGGGATGTACACTGTACCAAGCATGGAGCTGATACATGGTATGTTCCTCTCCAGCCCCGTTGCAAAGCAGACGCAGACTGTGAATCTTTATCTGCTTCTCAAAACACGAGAGGCAGCCCAACCTGGTGCTGCCTCATACAATGACCTTGTGGCAAAGCTACAATTTAGACCAAGGAAATTGGCAACATTTTACGAGAAGAAGATTTACTTTTGAAAATGAGTACTCGGGAGACCTGATCCTCTCATACAGATATAGTTGTCAGGCTCCCCACTTTGGATAACGTGTAAAAGAAGAGGGGTCTGATTCTCCACATACCACTATAGCTCCATTGAAGTCAATGAATTCCCCCGCCCCCCCACCACACACACAGTGAGCTGACACAGGGGCTATCCACCACTTTAATCTCCCATAACTCCCTCTTTTGAAGGCTTAAGTAGTGCATAGTGTTTATACAGACCCTCTGCACAGGCATGAATTTCACCCTAATAAGAATGAGCAAAACCAGTCACTCTACAAGCTCTATGCATTCAGGAATGTCTTTGGGTCACGGGTAAACAACCTCCTCACTGCCTACAAATAAGGTGCACAGACTTGGTCACCTTTATTCCAACTAAAATTAATAAAACTGTGAACCCGTGCTGCCTTCTCAGCATAGCACCTGCTCTGTAACTGGCTGTCCAGAACTGCCATTTCAATTGCATGTAATGTTAGTTTTCCCTTTTCCGATTTGTTGTGTGATAATGCTGTGGCCCGAGTAATAATGGCCACGTTCTACTCAAGGCGTTATTGCATTTCAGAGGTGGGTGAAGCGATTCCTAGTTGTAAAAGGCTTGGGGATTAAGAGCAGAGGCATTATATAAATGCACATTTATTAATATTAAAGCTGTTGGTGGGAAAGTGCTACTAAACATGGCTATTTCCATCATGCTAGTTAAAATGAAGAAATGTTTTAGAATAAGTCTGATTGCTGCTAGCTATTTGCATAGCAAGATCAGTAGTTTACTTGTGGTTTCTTGGTGTTTCGGTTTACTGTGCTACCTATTACTATGCATGTGAATCACTGTGCTATTTTTGTCTTTCAACCGCGTCCATCCTTAGTAGCATGTAACGCCTGTGTGCTCTCTGGCTCCATCTACACTGCAGTTTCCTCCATGTTATGAACCTTTTCTTGACCAAATTTTAATTTAAATATTTCGGATGGCTGGTGCCTCAATTTTTAAATAGGTATTTTTAAAAAAATGATCTTTTAAAAGTAGCTTTGGCAAAATTATGTTCTGTCGATGCCAACTAGCCTACCACTGTCAACAGAAGTCATTCTTTAGACTTGGATATAAACTGTAGTGCGGATGGAGGATCCTTGTTTCTCTGACTGATTTTCATGGCTCTGCCAATTATGACATCAACATTGGCATTTATTTGGAGCTGACAGAAAGGAGAACAGGGAGAGACAGGCAAGGTGGTCTTTAAGGACCCGATTCTGCAAAAAGAACTGTGTAAGTTGACTTTTTGGTTGTGCAAAGCCCTATAGAAGTCAATGGGGAATCCACATGGGCACAGAGGTCTGCTCATGTGGTTCACATTCAAATAGACTTTTAAGGGCAAATAATGAATGTGCAGTATCTAATTTGTTTATTATAAACAGGCCCTGACCGAGAATCATAGATCCAAGCCACATCCTGTCTTTGGGGAAATTTGACTCCAGATCCAACTGCAAACTTCACAGCTTGGTTCCGGCTCTACTTTTTATTAATAGCAGATACACATTTGGACGGATACCTCAAACACAGAGCTCCTGGTGCTCCGCTTGATCATAAAAGATTGCATGTGAAAGTTTGGAAGAGAGGTGTACTGTCCTGGTCTTCCTAGCCAATGTTTTCCCCTCCTCAGTCTGTTACATTGCGTACTGTGTGCCAGTGGGTCATCATCTTCTCTCCCTACAGCTGGCTGTCTTTCAGTATGTGACATTTTGGAGGCTATTTCAGGATGAACGGTCCCACATAAACGTTCTATTAAATTATTTTATAGTATGCTCCGTATACAAGCATAACACTGTTAATGATGGTCGTATCTCAGATTGAAGTTTTTATTTTTCTAATCACTGGTTCAAGATGAGAGCTTCAGTCATGTATTGGTCCTGAAACATTAAGATTTTCAAAAATGAAAGTCTAAAAGTTAGGCTCCTAAACTCTCCTTTAGGCCTAAGTAAATGACCTGATATTCAGAGGAGCTGAGCAATGCTATCTCCCCTGGACCACAACAGCTGACACCATTTACAATATTTCTAGCCATGACGGTTTCTGAGGTATTGCACCTTAAATTTACGCTGATCCCTTGGTGTAGCAGTGGGTGGGTGTTGCATTTGTCTAGGACCATCTGTAATCACCTCAGTACACATTTTGTCAATGGCTCTGTTTATTTTTATTTTATCCCTTTCACTGCTGCACATATTAGGTTTCACATACTACCAGCAATCCCCACTATGTTTATCAACACCGCACACCCCTAGGAGAGCTTGGGGAGACCTGCTAGAGTTTTAACCCCCTGCTGAAACAACATTCTAGGGAAACTGATCTTTTCTGATGGCAGGCAAAACAATTATGGAGAGCAGAGATGGGCAGAAGTATCTTTATTCCATCCCATCTATGTATTGAAGCTGCCTTCGAATCTTTTGACTATCTTAGCATACCCAATCATTATTATTAATTACATGGCACCATAAATGTGCATGGTGCTTTAAAATACAGATACAGACAGACTCCAGGCCCTAGAGAACGCATGGCCGAAAGCCCTGCTCCCGAAAAGGAATCTGCATGGGCATAAGGGTCCACCTATGTGAATCTCTCGGCAGGGTTGAGGGCTAAGTTAAGACCATAAAGAGGGGAAGAGGAATACAGATGGAGTGTAAATGTCTGCAAAAGCCAAACTTTTGGTAATATCTATTGTTATACCCCTGCTCCTGGACCCTTTTGACCTAACCTTGATAGCAACCCCTCCCGTTATTAAAATTTCATCAGGAAATGCAGTTCTGTAACAAGCAACAGAGAGTCCTGTGGCACCTTTAAGACTAACAGATATTAGTTCTGTAACATACCACTCCCATTCCTGAAATGAATAGTCTCACTACAAGTTTCCATGGCTTTTTCTGATGCCCAAGAAAATCATATTGCAGTTCTGAAAAATGATCAGTTACATGTATGATCTCAGTGTTATGCAGTGAACTGCCAGTATGTGAGCTAGTGACTCTAGAGAGAGAGTGGGTTTTAAAAGCTTCCACATATGGGGGAACTTGAAAAATATCTGTTGTTTATTTCTGGACTGTTATGCAGCATAATGAAACTTCAACCAATCTTCCATGTTGGGATACATCATTAATAGCAATGCTCAAAAATATCACTGTTCCGAACTTCCTCTTGCTATACTGTAAGTTTAAAAAAAAAAAAAAGGTAGTAGTTACTTTTCTCTTTGTGAGATAAAGTGCATCCTCCCCCCCGAGTCTACTAAAAACGAATAATGGGGAAATACAAGTTTACCTTCAAACTTATTTTTGAAAAAAAATCATATTTGAGCAGTGATCAAGCACAGAAAATATTAAATCTTTTATAGCCATGACTGGGTAGGGAAAAGGATTATAATGGAAACTGTTTTGCAATCTTAACTATAATGATCGCTATCAGGAGCTAAAATAAAGAAATATATACTAAAAAGCAATCAGTATGTTCAAGGACCTGATCTGTAAATACTTACTAATAATGTTCACACATGCATACAGGACCAGGGCATAAATTATTATCCTGCCTCAGAAAAATTCCACTGTCCTGTGTTTCCAAAGTAGTCCATAAATCAAAGTTAAATTATTTCAGCATTATATATTTTTAATTATTGTAAGACATGCTCATTTTAAATGCTAGATGACAGAGAATTTCAGGTTTAAGACTAGTATGGGCTATTTCAGAACAATATTAACAAATCAAACTTTGCTCTTGTGGCTTAAAATGTAATCTAAGTATCTCATCATTATTGCAGCTCTGAAATCAGTCTCAATCAACTTTCCTGTAGATTATAAAAAAAAAAAAGATGGGGTGCTGAATAATTATTATGGTGTGTAATGCAGTTGTTTTGATTATATACATTTATAGAGAATAAATACACATATATACAGAATAAATATACATATATACAGAATAAAATATACATATATACAAATATAAATATACATATATACAGAATAAAACTGAGATGGACTAAGAGTCCATTGGAAAACCCAAAATAAACTACAGCTTCAGAAATCAACATCTTTCTCTATCTTTGCTTCTTATAATATTGTCTACATAAAAGGAAATGCATGTCTAGAAATATGGAGACTATTATGGTACATTTTATATTTATATTATTTTGTTAAAGAGTCTATTTAGTTGAATATATATAAATAAGGATCTGAAAGCAAAAAAAAAGTAGTTTCAAGTATGGGAACTATTACTCCCTGATGCAACAGCAGAAAGTGCCAAGAGATACTCAGATTTTATTTACACACAAACTTGACTGAAATAACTAAATCTGTTTTAATTCATACCTTTAGTTATTTCAGTGTAGATACTTACTTCAGAATAAGAGTTTCTGATTTTGCTTTTGCTTAAATTGGTAAAAAATTGACTTCAACTAAATTGTAATGGGACACTTCTATTCTGAAATAAAGTGTGCACAGGACTTTCACTAAAATAACTAAAGGTGTGAATTAAAACAGATTTAATTATTTCAGTGCAAGTTGGGGTGCTGCAGACCAGCCCTCAGGAACAGGTCTCAAAACCTGTAATGAGTTACAACACATTTCTCAGAAAAAGTTTAATTGAACGTAGCTGCTCGGATTGTGCACCTTACCTGGTACTGTGCACGTCTGATTGATAGAAACCCTTCAAAGTACAGAGGAAGAGCAGTAATCCTCTGTCTCTCCTGGAAGATTCGTCGTGGGGCTGGTTCAGGGATTTTCTCAGGCTCAGCCATCCTGCTTCCTCCCTATCCGCTGAATCTTGGCTGTGTTCTTTTCCTCTGTGTATTCTTGTCTGCTTATCTTCAGCCTCTGGCAAAGGAAAGCTCACCCCGGTTTGAGAGAACAAGGTGACGGTACAAAGAGGAAGTCTCGGTAGTTATTTTTAAATAAACAACACACCGCACAGACCCTTGCTCACTGTATAATCCGAAGAGGAACAAGGTTAAATGGATTAAAGGGAACTTTCCTAGCCCGCTATTTGTATGTTTCCATCCTGCAGACCAAGGTTCACAATCACAAATGATAATTATGCCATTTCTTACCAGGATTATCATTACTGGATTTAGTTGGGGGTCTGTCAGAGAAACCTCCCACTCACAGTTCACAGACTCTGGAATCTTTACAGGTGATCTGCAAAGAAAGAGAGATTGTGCCCGTCTGCTTCTGAAATGTTTGTTTTGGCTTTTTAAAATTCCACTTGGCTTTTTACATTAAGAACGTCTGACAATTGCTTTTGCTGGAGATCTGGTGGAATTCTGACATAAGAGTGATTGAGAGAAGAAGGTATTTTTAGTGAAAACTGCTGTTTTTGTTGTTGATGCATGTGTAACTCAGATTTCTGACAAACACTTGGGGGGAAAACTTTCGTTGTGAAAAATCCATCATCCCCAAAAGTTCAGACAAAGTGTGGGAGAGTTCCCTTTCCCAGGGTGAAATTCTGGCCCTACTGGAGTCAATGGCAAAACTCCTGTTGACTTCAACAGGGACAGGATTTATCTTCAGGTTTGTGTCCCTTCCAGAAATCCTCAAGAAAGAACAGGGACAGCAAGACATTGGGATATTTCTATAGGTAACAAACAAGCAAATTCTTTGCATCTGAAGAAGTGAGGTTCTTACCCACGAAAGCTTATGCTCCCAATACTTCTGTTAGTCTTAAAGGTGCCGCAGGACCCTCTGTTGCTTTAAACAAGCAAAAAGTATTTGAAAGCGTGCTGTAGAAAAAGGGAACACATTTCTCCCCCTTATTCTTGTGGGTTACCTTCAGGGCTCCTTTTCTGCTTCCCTGCAACCTTCACGCAGATCCAATATGGCTTTAATATATGTGACCTGCTTGCAAAGGAACTTTTAGACTGTGCAATTGCTAGGCAAGAATATCAGAAAATCTGGTACTTCCCAGAACTATGTGAAAGTAAAATATCTATTTTTACTCTGCAAGTAATGACTTCTTGGAAAAGTCCATATTATTAACTTTTTGTAAGAATTTATTAGATGGCAAATTTTTTCCAATTGTGCTACTTTTGGCATGTTTTTGTAGTAAAATGGCAGAACTTGACTCTACTGGGGCAATTCAGCAATGGGGCAAGATATGCACCATTTTTGCGACATTCAGTAGCTAAAGAGGGGCGCTTACTATACTCCCAGCCTTGGAAAGCCAGCACAGTCTAAAACCACCATCAGTTCAAAACAGAAATCAACATGTAATAACTGATACATTCTTACTACATTGATGCATTCTTACTACATTGACAGATTACAACATGATTTAGTGAAGGTTTTGACCCCAAAAGATTTTATATTTCAACTCAGAGGTAGACCCTTGAGATCTAAAGCATTACTATCTAAATAATACTAGACCTGACTGATCACTGTGCTGCAATTTATGTGGGTGTTTGTACATCACGAATGCAAAACGGGTGTAAAATGCTAGTAAATCAGAATGGTAGCATTATACTCACATTGCAGGGACATGAATGACTATATACATTGTAGGGTGCTGGAGTATCAGTTCCTTTGTTTATTAACTCTTAAGAATGCTTCTTTTTAATAAAATCACCAGAAACAGCATGTCACATACAGTGTAAAGATTCTCACTCTTTAATCACCACATCTCTGCAACAGGGTGTTACCATATTAAAGTATATCAATGTGTGATGTTTCTCTAAACAGAAGCTTGCTGTGGAAATCTTGTTTTGTCGCTGATATTTAAATAACAAGGATTTGTAAACCTCTTAACTATTCCCAAATAAATAAGGTTTCTTTTTTAAATTACTTTTTTGGTTGTATTTTAAAGTGACTGTTTGTTCTCAGTGAGTTGCCTTCTCAGCTCTATAGCAGAGTGTGACAGTTTCCCTTTTGAAGTTTTCATCTTTTTTTTTTTTGAACACACAAACTGTAGGATACGTTGTACCATTTAAGAGGTGACATTTAGACCTGTTTGAAGCTTCCCTTTCTTTTGAGATGTGTCATTTATGATGAAATGTCATCCATGATACCTTTTCCACTGGGGAAGGTAATTTTCACAACCTGTTTCCAAAAACTTCTTGTGACTTTGTTTTTATAAAACTAAACAAAACAACAACCAGATAAATTCCAGGCACATCTGCAATATTGTTTTATATTTTCATAAAACTTAGATTTTTTCACTTGAGGCATTTGGCTCTAGCGGATCCCCTCAAAACCTCTGTTAAGATGCTAACCTATTCTGCATTGCCCTATGGGCCTTTTACTCCACTCCAGTGGAGAAAAGGTACCATGAAGACAGCAGAGCTTTTTACCAGGGAATATCACTAGCACAGATGTTTCTTGGATGGCACTGAACTGACTATAATGGCTCTCTGCCACTCCCTTTGAACTCCAGTTTAGAAGGAATGCCAGGGCTATCACCACAATGCCATTGAACTCCAGTTATTTTTGGCTGCCGGAAGGACCCCAATGGGCTACTCCAGCCTCAGACAAATGAGAGTATCTCTGAGGCTGAAATCAGAAGACTTCAAAATGTCTTTACTTCTACATTTTTGCAGAATCTAGTGTGTCTCTATGTACATCTACTTATGCAAATCCCATTACAACACATTTTTAAGCAAGATGCAATTTTCTGGGACAAGAAAAGTAAAATGTTTGAGAAATTGCCCGTATCCGAATACTCGATGTGATTGTGTGTCAGTTATGCCAATGGAGAAAGATGGTAGAAACTGCCAGAGCCACAGGGCTGATGTCTGGTTGATGTTTGTGGTCACAATAGTAATGGACTGTTAGACTGTGAATTTAAAAATAAGCCAGGCCTGACCACAAGAGAGGTACACTAGGAAAGAGAATGTACTCAGCAGTACACAGCTGGAATGGATGAACAGCTGGAGCATGTGGCTTCTGCCATAAGCAGACTATGCAGCTTGTTGCCAAAAAGGGACCAGAACGGTCAAATGACAGATCTTCCCTGTCCCTCCAATTTCTATGGGACACATTTTCAAAAAGGGCCTCTGAGTCTTCAATTTTTAGGTGCTCACCTCTGGCACCAACAGCCTAGATTTTAGCAGAGCTAAGCACCAGCAGCTTCAATGAATCTCCATTTGAGTGAGGGGTGCTCAGCGCTCCTAAAAAGTCAGGCCCTTGTATCCAGAGCTGGGCACCCAGAAAATGAGACACGCATTGTACAGCCCTTAACAACACAAATAATAATAAAAACATGGGCCTCAAAGCTAGAATAGCACCTGTCCCATGTTAGGCAGCCAATATGCAGGAGTGAGAATCTTGCACAGCGAGTACTGTATCTTTAGAGAATAACAAGGAGTACTTGTGGCACCTTAGAAACTAACAAATTTATTTGGGCATAAGCTTCCGTGGGTTAAAACCTGCTTCATCAGATGCATGCAGTGGAAAATACAGTAGGAAGATGTGTATATATATATATATACACACACACACACAGAGAACATGGAAAAAATGGGTGTTGCCATACCAACTGTACCCACCTTTGTGAACTGCTTTGGGTTCTACAAATGAAAACCAGTCTATTAACCACATTTCTCCAGGGGGCTGACTCAGCACCCCAGAGATTCTACAGCTGGTCTGTAAACCACTGATTGAGGGGGTCAGGCATTGGCTGTGGGTCTAAGACGCCGGGATTCTAGCCTTGGCTCTGCCACATTACTTGCTGCGATCGTTTACTATTTACCACACAGCTCAGAGCGAAGGCATGAGGGGCTGCGAGTTCATGACAGGCTAGCTTAGCGTGGCTGATGCAACAAGAGGGTGAGTGGGGTGTATGTCTAGGAGCTTGCAAAGGGATGGTATATGAATGCACAAGAGCAGGGCGTGGGATAGCACGGTGTGCGAAAGCGGCCAAGTGTGAGTAAAAAGGGGTGGGTGAGAGCAGGCAAGGAAGTGGCATGTGTTTGAAAGGGTGGGCACAGGTCGGAGTGAGGGCTGTGTGGTAGAGGATGGAGTGGGGGAGGCTGGTGTCTGTGTGAGGCAGCGAGGCGTGGCGGGAGGCGACAGCATGCACGGGCAATGGGTGGGTAGGGTAAGTGGGTGGTTCAGGGGTAGGGAAGGGCGGAGGCGTGCGGAGTGGGCACACAATGAAACAAAGCCTGGGTGGGCAAAGGTGCTGAGTCCTGAGTGTGAGGGAGACTGGGTGGGGACGAGGTGTGGGGGGCCGGCTGGGGGGGGGGGGTGAGGTGTGCCCAGGCGGCAGGGCTGGGTGTACAAGGGGGCGAGGCATGTGTGCGCGGGCCGGACAGAATGTGGGTCTGGGGGGCAGATGCGCGCGCGGAGGGCGGTGGGGATAAGCGAGGATGTGACTGGGGGGGCGGGAGCGATGCACGGGGGCGCGCGGACGGCGGGGTACCTGGGGGCGGGGGCGCGCGCGGAGGGCAGCGGGGATAAGCGAGGATGTGCCCGTGGGGCGGAGGGACGCACGGGAGCGCGCGGGGGGCGGGCAGGTGTGCCTGGGGGCGGGGATACGGGCAGGTGTGCCGAGGGGCAGGTGCGCGCGAAGGGCGGGGCCGGGGCGGGTGTGCGAAGTTGCTCCCTGGCTCTACTCTGACCCCTCCCGCCTAGGGCCGCCGACTCGGTGGGAAACAGGGTCTCGTGCGCAGGCGCGGCCTCCCCCCCCCCCGGGAGGCGATGAGGAGGGAACGGCTCTCTCTGACGCACGCCCCCGTTAACCAATGAGCGTTCCCCATCCCCTCCCTCGGCGGGAGCGCGTGCGCAGCGGAGGAGCCCCGAGTTTTCAAATAGCCGGAGCGGAGACGGGCGGCGCGCGCGGGCGCGACCTGGACCGGGAGCGGGAGCGGCGCGGGCCTGAGGGAGCGCTGGCGCCGACATGGCGGAGCCGCTGGTGAGAGAGCGGGGGGAGGGTCTGGGGGTGCCTCGGCCCGAGCCTGGTTACTGCTGGCGCCCCCCCTCCCGCCTTGG